GCATTCCTGTCTTTTGCTCTGCCTCTTCACTCTCCCTCTTGGGATATCTAGGAGGTAATTGCATAAGAGTCCGAATTTCATCTCTTGCTTTCTCTCCCTTTCTAGAGAGATACTTTGATCTTACTCTAATTACATGCAGCAAAAGATCATCTCTCTTCTCCTAGACTCCTAGTCTCCAAACAGTGTCGACTTAAGATCTCCATCATTTCCTTTCAGCTATGAACCTCCTGATTTCTGGGCCTTCTCTAGAACTGTTGTGCACATGAAATAAATACCCCAAACTGGAACTAGAACTGCAGGTAGAGCCTCAGAAAGACTGCGGTGATGCTTTGTAATAAGAACAAGAGCAATAAGTGCCAAGACCATTGCTTATTACTACCCATCATGCTTGGTTCTCTGAAAATGTTAGTCTTTCAAGCACCAGAAAGGGCTTACTGGGCCATGACTTGAGGACCACTGCTTTGGGAATATATTTTAATGTCTGATGTCTCTTTTGACACAGTCAAGAATGCGTTTGACATCCTTTGCTACAAATGTATTAATACGCTAATGTGAATCTCAAATCCCTTTGATTGTTGTTCCCATCTTCCAGTTTCTTGCCTAGCTGTGTAATACAGTAGTTAGGCTAGTATCTTTTAGATCGAAATCTGTCACTTAAATGTAAGTAGCCTTTTCTTCAACCCTTCATGACATTATCCATTACTCAAAGGTATTAATAGTGATAGAATCATAACATCATATGAGACCTCAAGGTTCATCTAGTTGGACCCCCTTGTACAGATGCAAGATACACTATTCCTGGACTATCCCAGACAAATGCTTATCTAGCCTTTTCTTGAAACCTCCAATGCAGGATATTCCATAGCTTTCCTGGGCAGCTTGTTCCACTGTCCTATTGTTCTGATAGTTAAGAAGTTCCGAGGTTTAATCTAAATCTGCTTTGCTGCAGTTTAACCCATTGCTTTTATGTGTTACCCAGTGAAGCAAGGGATGGTAGCCTTTCAAATATATGACAGCTGCTATCATGTCTAATGACTGGACCTCTCGTGTGTATATACTGTCACTCCAGGTATGGAACTGAAAAGCTCACCACAAGCCCAAGGCACACATCAATGACTTTGCAGTTATTTGCTATTTACAGCAACCTTATGGTTTTCTCACTTTTAACAAATTTGCTATTCAATCTGGAGACTTTTATTCTGTGCCCAAAGTTGTTAGTCTGCAAAATGAGAGGCTCGTGTGAGGCTTTTGTTTGGTGCTGCAGCTGGAAATGCATCTCTTCTCTAGGAGTACACTGTGCTGTACCCATAGCAGGAGATTCGTCATTTATAAGCACAATCTGGTCTCTGCTACCAGGCACATTCCTTTGTTACAACATATGGACTAAATTACTGACTCTCTCTGTTGATTTCGTGTCTCTCTCTTCATTTCCTGAAACTTATCCCTTTCTGCTGGCTGTTTGAATATGTATGCAGTGAAATGCCCCACAGGCTCTTGCATTCTTTCCGTTCCTTTGGCTCGCGAAGAAAGACAATGCTGTTGTAGAGCTTATGTTGAAGTGACTCCAAACTCTCATTGCAGTCCCAGTGAGGACATGAGCTTGTGGGCCTGGAGGTTTCAAGGTGGCCTTCCCCAGAGAAATCTACCATTTTTTCTAAATGCATATTCAGGGACTACCTAGATTAATTGTGTCCCCACTCCTCTTCTGAAAGCGAGACCCCCCTACTCCAGTGTCTTCCCTGGCTTAGTATTTCATCTGTTTTCAGCCAATTGCTGTATCTATAAAAATATCATTTTCTCTCTCTTTCCTTTTCCTAGTATGCCCATCTCTGAGATTCTGGGCTGCTTGAGCCTATGAATGTGAGGGGATGCAGTTAGGAGCATCAGGCTGCTCTGTTTTTCTCAAGATACTTTTGATTCTTTTCCTGGCCATTTGCTTGTGCCAGGCCCAGAGAAGCTCTATGTACTGTTTCCTTATAAGCACAGAGGGTACTCCCTTTTGGTTAGTCCCTTAGTTCCCATCTGCTACCTTTGCTCCGGAGTTACAGCACTGCCTGTACGCTGTCCTGGGCAGGGGGAAAGAATTGTAGTACCTGAATGATTGAATTCATCACAGTTGGAGCTCCTTTGAGAGATAGGGGGTAGAGGAAATACAATAAGCAAACATATACAAGTTCATAATTTTCATCTCTTCCCTAGGCATATTCCAGTTTGTAGAAGGAGGCTTGTCCAGCAGATTGTGCCAGCAATCACGGTCAATACTCAACAGGAACATGTTTTTCACAGGAGCATGTTCTTTTGAATGTGCTTCAGCCATGGCCCCTTTGGATTCTCTTGACTCTTGCAGCTGCCAGTGTTTTCTAGGGCTGCTGCTTTTGCCACTCTTTGCCATCTCCTTCCTTTTCCCCTCCTAGCACTGGAAATTGTGACAGGAAGCAAGGAGGGCAGTGCTCAGGGCCTACCTTCCTGCTTTCTTCCTGGATAGCAAGAGGCATTTGTATGTGCCTTTTTTTGAGAACCCAGTGGTTCAGCAAATCCTACAAAAAGGACAAGAATTCTAGTACATGTGCTTATGACTCTAGAATTGGAGAACAAGTTAATATCAGAGCTAAATAGTTTGAGTGCCCAACTCAGTGGCTGGGCATGATGTCAGTGTGCTTCTGGAATAGATCCTATAAACATTAATAACTTCCATAATAATTCTAGAGGGCAGAAGTTCCCATGCTCATTGGTATGTATCCAAGCCACTCAGTCTAGATATAGTAGGACCTGATAATCAGTCCATACCCTAAGGAGAGATCTGGAGAGTCCAGAGAGTTTGTATGGTACATATCCCTAGAAATTGTTTTGGCTGTACACATTACTGCTGCCTTTTATTCACAGCTGCTGGCTCAGACCCCATCACCTTAGACAAGTTGCAGAGCATCAGACACTATCACCTTAAACAGACAAGCTGTAGAGCGTCACCTAATATGCTCCATCCTACATGGGGTCTCAAGAAGGAGGAAATTGCAGAAGTAGGGACCCTTTACCAAGAATATCCTGTTGCCTAGCTCAGAATGTTTGGCCTTGGGAGTGGTGTATAAAGGAAGGGCAAAGGTTGGGTGTTAGAGCAACTGGGCCAATGTGAAGCTGTTAGTTCCTCAGGATGCTTCTCTTACCCAGTTTTATTGTTGCCCTGTCTGGCTTGAGCTTGAACAGGGCAACATTCATCCAGCACCCTATCTTATCACCTTGGGGTTCAGCAAATAGCAGTACTATAGTTTGTCCTGAGTCTCTCATCCTGTTTCTCCCTGATAAAGGCACTGCACACCAACATAGTTTCCATGCCATACCTATGCCATGCCTAGAAGCACCTTGGTAGGGAACTGGAAAAGTAGAATCTGGCTGTAGCTGATAGTAGAAAGATATTCCCATCACTACATTCTTGGAATGTAAAGTTTCAAGGCAAGATTCGCTTTGACTGAAGGCCTCCGAGCAGAGAGCTCAGCATCTGGCCCTCATGAGGTGATGCATGGGTAATGGACCTCAGCTACCCTGACAGGCTGCAATTGTGTGGCTGAGTCGTAGTGATCAGGGCTGTTCTTTTCCTAGGATGCACCCAACCCCTGGTGTCTAACGCTATGTGTTTTTTGTGCTCCTATCTCCCTCCTGCCTACACATCCTAGAGTCTCACAGTCACTTTTCCACCAGGTTTTAGAGACTAGGTGACCATGTATTTGAACCTCTACATAACAGTGATTCACCTTTTTTTATTTGTAACTTAGTATAGGATTGTCTATGTTTTCTGGAACCTGAATACTATCAGACCCTGACTGTTGTACTGAGAATTTAGGTCAGGCGTATTGAGTTGTTTCTGCCAGCAGGTGGCACTGTGTGCAGACAGTCTGAAGCATGGGGAAATGCTGGCAGATGTCCAGATGTGATTTTTATAGATTTAGGTTTCATCAGGAACTGTTGCTATGGAAACTGGTTTGCAGTCTGCATTGAGTGTTCATTCAGTATGTTAACTCCTTCAGTGCCTTGCTGATTGCAGGGGAGGCTATATAGAAATTGCTCACGCTCCTATTCCCCCTCCTGCTATGCAAAGCTGTAAGGTAGGTTAGTATAAGGGCATCTGTCTGTGGGGATCTTATACTTAAACATATTCCTACAGGGTCATTGGGCCCTGGAGTGAAGTGACTTACAAGACCTAGTCAGATTCCCAGTTCACTCAGCAGGCTGATGCAGGGAAGAGCTCTGTTTCACTCTTTATTGGGAGGAAGGGGGGAAGGTAACTCTCCTGTTATCCTGCACTGGGCTCTGTCAGTGGGGGAGGATAGGGGTGGCTGGGTTTATATTGTTTTGTTTAAGCCTATGAACTCCCCTTATTATGGGAGGTAGAATGTGAGGCTGATGGTACAGTACCCCTTCCAGTTGGAAGTGGGACTTTGTACATGCTTTATCCTTATACTCAGAAGTCAAGGGCAATTTAGGTTCCTGCTACTGCCTGGATCCTTGATCCAAGACTACCTTGTTAGACAGGAGGGGGCAGTGCTGTCTCATGGCCTTTGTTACAGAAGTGCTGCATGTGCTTCTGTTGGCACATGTTCTTTGAACATGGTGACATGCTTGTTGCTAGGGAAGAAGAGCAGCTGAGGCCAGGATAATCTTCTTTGTGATCTGAACACTACAGAGGGAGGGTGAGGAGATTAGAAGGGAATGAATTGCACTAATAACCTGAAATTATTCTTGAAGAGAACCAGGCAAACAACTGAGACAAGCAGGCAAGGGAAATGTAGGGAGCCGGGAGGGTAAGTGTAGGAGACAGGGTTGCAGGGAAAATCTCAGAATCCACAGTCGGCAGCAAACTAATGGAGCTGGAGCCTTTGAGAAAAGGATAAACTTAGAAAACCTGCCAAATGTTATCCACAACTCAGTTCCTATCCTTCCCCCATATGATACAATCCATTTTCCAAGCATTTTTGTATCCCTGCGCATCTCATCTTTCATGAAGAGTGAGGGATCCCTGCTGGTGCCAGGTATCTTTAAAAATCATAGAAAAGTAGGACGAAGGGACCTTCAGAGGCCATCCAGTCCAACCTGCTGCCAGAGGCAGGATCACCCTGTCCATACCTTCCCATACATTTGTGGGATGGTTCACTGTTGTACAACCATTTCACTGTTGTATAACCTTTTAGTCAAACTACACAGTCAACCCTGACACAGTTCCTCAGGAATACCTTAAGCTGCCACAGGTATGGCAGGGAGACAACAATGGCCAATGTTGTGTTGCTTCAAGGGTTTTTAAAATATACTCATGACATCCAAGAAGCGAGCCTTGCCAGTGGACTAGAACTTGTCCAGTTCCTGGTGGGGCAGGCAAAAACAGGACTTCCCCCTCTGCATGTGTTCTGCCCCCACCCCCTACATGTGTATGTGGAGGGAGGAGAAAGGTGGTTCTTTCTTTGCTCCTTGCAGCTATCAGAGGAATGGGGAGGGACAAGAATTATTTGTCTGCTTCCCTTATGGGAAAAGAGATGGTGTCACAAAGGTGTGACTTTTGCCCTGTAATCTGGAGCACCTAGGAGGTTTGGAGGAGCAATGTGTTCTATGCATGTCTGTCATGCCTACATTTGACTTCTTGTTTTCCTTACAGAGGGTGATGAGACAGGGGTAATGGACAGTCTGTTGGAGGCCCTGCAATCAGGAGCAGCTTTCCGTAGAAAAAGAGGACCACGCCAAGGTAAGTATTACTTGCTACACTTCCTCAGAGCAGGAGTTGATGGGCTACCTCTCCTCCCTGAGGACAAGAATTGGACTTGACCAGTTAGAACAGATCAATTGGTCCTTGTGGCTCCACGACCTGCCTCCAACTATGGCCAATGCCACAAGGTTCTTTAGAAAACAGCTTAGTCCAGAGCAGAGGACATGGAAGTTATAAAGGACATTTGGGAAAGTATCAGTAATTGAAGGCTGAAGGGAGCTGAAAAGTCCAGTGGGATAAAGACACTTGAAAGAACAAGGAGATGTTAACTTCTGAAGGGCAAAGCAATGAGGAAAGAGTTGCTGTGAAATGAGAGAGTGATTGGTGATTGATGATCATGGGAAGATGAGGAAAGGGGAGAGAGCAGTGTTTGCTAATGTGACTGACAAAAGAGGTGTGACTATGGGGAAGGGTGGAGGCAATGACAAATGCATGTGTCAACATAAGTCTGTGATGTAGATCATCTTCCTATGGGCTATGTCTTGCCATAATGTGTGTGCTTCATCATCTTCTGCTATGACTGGGTGTGATTCCATGATCACACATCCACTGTGCTTTCTGATCATGTTCACTAGAGTCAACATGACTAGAGTGAACTTCCTGTGCCACCAGCTGCTGTTTGAACAGGCAGCTTTAGATTAAAATTTCCTATAAGGAGGGGGAAAGGAAGAGGATTTTACTTCCCAAGTGTACAACAACAGGAAGGGAATATTACAACATGTCTGCAGAATGCCAGGAATGATGCATTATTGTACCATTGGAAAGTGTGAGGACTAAGAACAGCATATAGATGATGCAGTTGCCACTCATTTTGTAGTAGATTGAGAAATGTGGGGAGCAGACCTGTAACCCTGTTGTCCATCTAATCTAGTGCTTTTTGGAGGGACTACTGTTACTGCATCAAGTGTCTATTCCTAGTATAAGTGTTGGCATTTAGCTCCTGTATTTGTGTACAGTTTTAACTTTGCAGCAAGGAACAGGAAACATACCCATGTGGGTGTGGTGTAACAGAGATCTGTGGAGTCAGTCATCACAGCTAGAAGTCCTTCTTGGTATTCTGGGTTTAAAAGCTACATGTTGCCACAGGCTTCCCTTTTGGTTTGTCTGGAGATTTGATTTTTGGGTGCTGCAAGCTGCAGAGGCATTCAAGGTTGAGATTTCATTACTGTTCTGCCTTTGATTTTTGGTTTATTGCTGGGTTTGGAGCTGCAACATCAGTCTTATTTGTAGTTCTTATCGGTAGAGAATTTCATTTATTTCAGTTTCCATCTGAGTGTTTAGAATTCTGTAGATGCTGCATTTCCATTTATTTCTATGAATCTCTTGCCCTAAACAGTGGGGCATGTGATGCACCATCCCCACCACCACCATGAGAGCTATGAGGGCATTTCTCAACCCTTTGACACTTTTTAGTCTCACTCACTGCAGCAGCTGAAGAGCATAGAGGCACTGTTTGTAAATCCCATCAGCTCCGATCTTTGACTCTGAGTTTCCTTAGAGGCAGCTGTGTCTATTCAGAGACAGTAGCAGCTCCTCACTAACATGTAAAGGAATGAAAAAGCAGACAGACCTCTGGGGAGTCTGTTTAATAACTTAACGGGCTCATTGTAGGGGAAGAAGGGTGTCAGCAGAGGGGATTGTTCCAGCTAGCTCATTAAGAAAGGAGTGCAGACTGCTACAGGCGGCAGGATGTGTACACAATAGCCCAGTGTCCTCCTTCATTCAGACTTCATGATTGTCTTGCAGTCATGGTTTCAGCCTGATGATTCAGGCCTGATCTTTGGTTTGAGTGACTCAACTAATGTTCTTTTCTTATAGCCTTGATGTCATGCAGGCCATCTGCTCTGTAGAACAGAGGAGAATAAAGAAAAATCTATCGTAAATCTTGCCTCCCCCACCCAACCTTGCTGTGTTGCCCACACTTCCATGGCCATCTCCCAACACAAGAGGGCAACAATATGCTTGTATTGGCCTGGCTTTTTCTGCTGGCCCTTCATTTCCTCAAACATGACAACGTCTTGTAGAACAGCAAAGCTGCTTTTTGTTTCTCAGTTTCTGTATTTCCCTGCTGTTGCTGATAGAGATTGCCCTTGATACAGGGAGCCTGCTAGTAATAGTCCTTCCAGGTTCTGCCACTTCACTACATATCCCAGCTTATTTCTGGGTCTGGTTTCATACCCCGTATGGTAAGAATCTCTAGATTCTTTGGTTGGAGACACAAACACCTGAGTGAGCCTGAATGTTCTGCTAATGCTTTGCAGAGCTGCTGGAAAATCAGGTTAGAGCTGGTCTTCAGTGAGAAAGGCCCACTCTCCTGGGTGACCCAGTAGCCATGCTACAAGCATTTGCTGCTCAAAGTATAGTAAATTGACACAGTAAAGCACTAGTGAAAACTGAAACGTTTCCCATACTAAGGCTGCCAAAGGGTATCTTCAGCTCTTGAATGTAAGTAAAAACAGAAGGGGAAGCAGGAGGAGAGATTTTGAGACTATGTAAAAAAGAACTTCCTCAGTTCTGTGCATGTGAGTGAAAACCTACCAACATGGGCATGTGAGAGGGAAACCATACTGGGACAGGGGGAGTGAGAGAGAAAACATGCTGGTGTGAGAGAGAGTGCATGTGCAAACATTCAAGAAAGCAAGAACCTGTTAAGCTGTGGGCATGAGGGGGATGAGAGAGAGAGAGAACCTGGGATGTGTATGCATATGGGTGTAGGTGCTGATGTGCATGTCGGTAGGTTAGAGGAAGAAAATGAGAACCTGCTGGTGCATGGGTATGAGTATGAGGAGAATCTACTGGTGTGACAGAGAGACCATAGCAGTGTGTATATATGAAATACAAACTTACTGAGGGGCCGGAGGTATGAGAGAACCTACCAGCATGAAAATGTGCATATGTCTGTGCACATGCACATGGTGGGTCAGGGGAGGCAGGAGCCAGGGGGAGATGCAAAGAGAACCTACTGGGTGGCAGTGGTATTTATGTATGTGCCTGAGGCCATTTTTGCAGTGACCGGGCCTTGGCAGTGCCCTCATCTCCCCTGCTTTTACCTATACCATGTCATAGGATGTTCTTGGTGTTTCAAGTGTTGTGTCTTGTAGCTGTATTTGAGAGGTTGAAGTGGCAATTTTGGGGAAGTATAGGATAAGTGATTGCCTGCAAAAACAGGGGACCAGACTCAATACCCCAGGTGGCCCCTTGTAGTCCTGTTCCTGTATGTGTGTGTGAAAGAGAGAATGTACCAATGTGGGTGTGAGAAAAAGCATCAACATGTGTATGTGGGTTGTTTTCTCTCTGTCTCAGTATCAGTGGAGCCAGGCTGGACTCGGGCAATGCCCTCTTCCCACTGTGGGCCTGGGCCAGGCCAGGCCTCCACCTCCTCTGCAGGTCCGGGTCAGGGCTGGGCCACACCACCTCTCCCCACGCAGACAGATTGGCAGAGCTGCACCCTAGCCTCCACCCCTCCCCGCAACGCCCCACTCACCCCCTGCAGCCAGGATCAGGACTACTGGCCACCTGCCCTGAGCACAGGATCAGGACCACTGGCCTGATCTGGCCTGCAGGTAGACCTGGGCATTGCCAATCTAGCCCACTGGGGAAAATGGTTGGGCACCACTGTTGTAGAAGAGTCTTTTCTAGTGTCTGGTGTGTAGATACCAGAAGGGGAAGAGAGATACTAGAAACTAAGGTTGAAGTTATCATCCTGTTTAGCCCTGAGAACTCTGATAACATAAAGGCTCTGTGTTCTGGTTATTCCTAACAGTAGGCCTCTCTCACACTACTGTTTTTGTATATGCTTTCACAGGCACTAGGATGCAAGCATGCATTGTTAACTTGCAGTATATTTTTAAATTATTTTTATGTTTACAAATGAAAAATTAATATACAGAGACATCCAAAGTTTGAATTTATCACATTCAAGATAGATTATCTTGAATGCTAAAAGGTTCAAATGGGATACAAGGTCTTGCCTCAAATGGCTGGGAGTACCTAGTACTAGTGGAAAAGCACTTAATACTGCCAGAGCTTTTTGGCCTGGGATTGGAGGAGTATTTTTCAGTGAGATCTGAAAGCAATCTGACTAGTGCCTCTTTTATTTCCTCTTGCCAGACTCTCTCTTGTCCCTCTGTGAGGTGGAGGAGGATACGCCTGAGCGGGTAACACATGGGCATGTTGTTTTCCCGTCCCCCACTCATTGTGTGTGTGTGACTCCTCATGTCTGCAGGCAGGGAGGGCTAGAAGAGGAGACTGAGACACATGCAGCCTGAGGCTGTAGGTTCTGCAAATATCCCAGGAGTGGATTGAAAATGGGCCTTTTTCACTGGTAACTTTAAATCTTTGAATCTTGCTCTGATTCTTCTTTTCACTTTCCTGTCTAAAGTGCAGCCCACCTAGCTGCCAGCCTTGGGAGTCTGCAGCTAGCCCACAGAACTGGGCTGCCAGGTCACCTTGCTCTCAGGGCTTGGCTGCAGCAGGCTGTTTCTTGTAGTGTCTCTCCTCATTCTCTTCCCTTCCTGCCAGTGTGCGCAGTCTTCCTGATTCCAGTACCGCAGTGATCCATCATGCAGAGAGTGCAGCAGCTGACACTTCCATTTACTATTTTGTTGCTTCAGTTACTCACATTCTGTCTCCTGCGTAGGAGCTGTCCTAGCACAGCTTTGGATTTCAGGAAGTTCAGACTGAGAATCTGAGAAGCCATGTCTGTATTGCCCGTAAACTGGGTGTTGGCAGCAGATTGGATGTGGGGGGTTAAAATGGGGCTGGGCTTTTAAGAGTGTCATTCAGCCAGTGGACTTAAGGGACCTAATTATATTTGCAATTAGCAAGTTGTGTTATGAACATGCTCTTTGGAAAGACATACAGGAAAACACCAAATCAGATCTGTAACAAGGATAAGCCCTTGAAGAAGGATTCATTCAGGGAATGATGGGGTCTATGACTGCGATTTGTCCTTTGGAACTGCGTTTCAGGTGAGAGACTGAAAATCAGTGGGGTGTAGGAAGCAGATTACCAGAGGCTAGGAAACAGATACAGGTGCACCTTGTGCCTCAGGCTGCAAGCAGTCTTGGGGAAAAGGTGAACCTGTAACAGGCATGAGAGGTAGGAACAGAACAAGCAGAATCAGACTAGAGGCTCTATCGATGTAAAAGTTGAGGAGGTGCTGCTCGAAGCATACTGTAGAAGAGCTCAGAAAGGTGGTACGGGAAGCACCTTGGAAGCTTATGATACAATCATTAGGATAGCCCTGATAGGATTTGTTTGTTCTTCAGTTTAGGGTTGCAGAGAGTAGCACTGCATAATAAAATCTTCAACAGGATGAGGTTCTTGGGAGTGAGGGTCATGGGATGGAGCAGGAGTGAGTAAAAGGGCTGGTACAGAAGTGTCTCTATGCCCAAAGTGACGACAGCAGACTGTCATAGCTGTTGCTGGGATAAACCATGTGCAGGTCATCCACTGAGGATAGACATTTAGTAGGGTACTGTAAAGAGACCATAGAAGGACTTAATCCCTGCGCAGGGGACCTCCAGCTGGGAGTTGTACTTGTCTGTGCCTAATGCATGTCTCCTTTGCATGCTCTTGCATGTTCTCAGTGTTCAAAAGTGTCCCGTCTAGAAACTGCATGGGAAACTGTCCAAGAGAAGTAACTACTTTTTTGTCTTATAAAAAGTTAACTCTCCCTGTGACTGTCATGTCTCTAAGCAGGAACTCACCTGCTGCTTTGAACTCCTGTAAGTGTCTTGTCCCTTCTACAGCTTCTTCCAACCATAGAGGTTTCTTCCTGGACACTTGGGCCTGAGAGAGTGCCTACATATGCATCACATAATGAATCCATGCAGACTGTAGTGCACATGTACATGCATGCATGCATACATACCACAGCATGTGTGCACTGGGTTCAACCTGCATGTGTGCTGCAGTGGATAGTTTGTGTGTGTGTCTGACCATATGTATGAACACAGAGCCTGCCTATGTGTGTGCGCACCTGTTCAGGTTAGTGAGTGTGTGTGTCAGCCTAAGTGCCACAAGTGAATGTATGGATGTATTTAGTGTTGGAGTTGGCTGAGTGTATACATTAATGATATGGTCAATGACTTGTCCTCCCTGTGCAAGCACTGTGCCCAAACCTCTT